ACCACTGCCCCGGATGAAAATGGTCTGGAATTAGAGAGTGGCGATGGTCGCACAACCTTGTGAATATAGTGAATATGCTAAAAACCATGAGCATACCCTTAAAAAGGGTGAACTTTATAAAATGTCAATTATCTCTCAAGAAAATGAACTAATTAATTGTTTCAATAGGAGGGAAAAAAACAACCCGGCTACTTAGCTCTAAGCAAACTTGGGCTTGTTAGTTAGCTGGTCAGAGCCTTAGCCTCCTCCTTTGCAAAATAAGAATGGTAGTTAGTGCTTTACAGTTAGAACAGTAGACCGTTCTGAATAGTAAACGTGACAGTGTAGGTGAAACGCTTAACATAGCACCTTGCAGGTAGTAGAAGCTAAATATGTCCTAGTTCCTTTCCTCCTACGTGCCAATAAAAATTTTAAAACAATCATTTGCTTAGCAGCTTCAAGATGCGGCACAAGCTCTAGGCAGCCTCCCATCAGACAGCCTTGTCCCGGGCACATTAAAGCCAGGATCGGACGGAAGACAGCGACGAGGATGCAGGTGACGCTCGCTGCGGAAAGACTGCAGATCACTCTGCAGCTGTGCAGGGCAGAAATAACAAGAAAGTCACATGATGTGAATACAGCCACGGAGACAGCCGTGGTAAAGAAAGGCAGGTGGGCACAGGGATTTCTGCTTATAATTCCAGTTTGGTATATAAACAGAGTCCCGTTGCCAAAACAGCCAAATCTTCCCCCAACACCTGGACAAGTCCATGCGGCTACAAGGCAGCCCCGATGCTCAGAGATGCCCCTTGCCCCAGTCTCCCTGCTGTGCTTCCTCAAAACCAGAATCGACCAGAAACAAACCTTACACAACCGGGATCGTCTAGCACGGTACCGAGCCAGGGAATTCCTATTTTCAATGAGCTGCTCACTGTGACCACTCCAAAATCAACCAGGACTTAGGAAGTGCCTACCCTGTGCCCAGCTCTGTGAAAGATACTGTTGTGAGGGAGACAAAGAAGCACAAGCCATGTGCCTCGCCCTCGAGGAGGCCAGCTAACCTCTTAGTTTGAGAGCAACTCTTCACAGAGCATAAATAAAAGGCGTCGTGCCTTGCACAGAGCAGCGGTTCAGTCGTTGTTTGTTCATTGGGTCAATGAACTAAGAGATGGCACAATAATAAAACAATTGTGCGAGCGTGAGGCTCACTCCAAGAACCACAAGATGGGTTGGAGCAGTTGGAAAAGGCTAGTGCCAGAGGCTGCTAGTTGCCGCCTCAATATCCATCTTCCATTTTTCCTTGTAAAGGAGTCCCTATTTTCTAGGAGGTGGCCATATGCCCAGATAAAACACTACGTTTCCCAGGCTCCCCTGGAGCTAGAGGTGGCTAATGAAATCTGAACAGAAATTGTTAAGAGAGACTTCCAGGAAACTGCCTAAAAGACAGACCGAAAGCTGCCACTCACTCCCTTTCTTCTAATTCTTGTCTGAGACAGGAATGGGATGACTGGATTTCCAGCAGCTGTTTTGGGACCGCGAGGAGAACTTGAGACAGAAAGCAAAAGGCAAAAGCCTGAATTCCTGATGACGGTGTGGTCACCATACCCATTCTTTAAATGAGGGATAAATGAACCTCTGTCCTGCTTAAGCCACTTTTTTGTGTGTGCCCTCCTGCACTGCTTACTTCTGGAATTCTTTATATGAGGGATACATGAACCTCTGTCCTGCTTAAGCCACTTTTTTGTGTGTTTTGTCTTATACAGCAAACCCATATCTTCACCAATACAAGGTTCCATAACAAAGCCGAGCCTTGCGCTGGCCGGTTGCTCAGTGGTTGGAGCGTGAGCCCGCAGAAGGGTTTCGGGTTCAATTCCGGTCAAGCCCATGTGCCTCGGTTGCAGGCTCGGGGAGGCAACCAATCGATGTGTCTCTCGCACACCGATGTTTTTCTCTGTCTCTATCCCTCCTTTCCACTTTCTATAAAAACTGGGGAGGCAACCAATCGATGTGTCTCTCACACACCGATGTTTTTCTCTCTCTGTCTCTATCCCTCCTTTCCACTTTCTATAAAAATCAATGGGGGAAAAAACAAAACAAAAAATTTAAAAGCTAGGCCTCAAAGGAAAGGTTGGCTTTGCAACTGGGCAAATGGAGGTGGGAGGGCATCTCAAATGCCAAAAAGAGCACGGGAAAAGGCACTGGCAGGAAAGAGCACTGGCAGGAAGCAAGTGGGGAGGACGTAGGAAATAAGAAGCCAGATAATGGTTTTGTAGAGACAGGGCTTAACTGGCAGACAGGGCTTGACTGGGGAAGGACCAGAGACCACAAAAGAGCAAAACACCTCTGGAGCCCTAGCCGGTTTGGCTCAGTGGATAGAGCGTCGTTTGATTCTGGTCAAGCGCACATGCCCAGGTTTCGGGCTCAATCCCCAGTAGGGAGTCGTGCAGGAGGCAGCCAATCAATGATTCTCTCTCATCATTGATGTTTCTCTCTCTCCCTCTCCCTTCCTCTATATCAATAAAAATATATTAAACAACAACAACAAACAGCTCTGGACCTGGGGAAGGTAAGAAAGGAGAGAAAGAGGTAAGACGAAAAGGCTTGGGGAACTTCATTACATGAAGATAGTATGTGAATATGAGCTGTGTCGTGGTTCAGCCAAACTGAAAGTTCCTGTACTTGGAACAGTCACAATAACACCACCTAAGACTTCTTAAACACGTAGGTGCCCGCCCCTGTGCTATGTCACTTTACACACATTATCTCACTGAAGCTTCCCAAGTCTATGACATACATCAAGCATGTCAAACTCAAAGGCTAACACGGGCCAAATAAACAAGGCATGCGGCCTGCGGGGCCGCGAGTTTGACATGCTTGACATACACAGTTCTATCATTATCACCCCTACTCAGCAGATACGAAACCTGGGGCCTAGAGAAAGTCAGTAACTTGTCCAATGTAAGCCTCACAACCCTGCAAGCTGGGGAACATCAAGCCCAATTTTCAGATGCAGAGAGTGTTTGTACCATTATTCCAAAGCCGGGAAAATGCATGACGATACTGACTTTAACACATAAAGATCCAGTGTCAAAGACAGAGTCAATTGCTGTATGAATAGTCCCTTAAGAAGAAGAAACGTTTTCAGGCTTGGTTGTAGAGGAGGAAGAACTTGCTAAGCCCACCCACATCCTCTGACTGACTACAGTGTTCATGAGATATACATGGTGCTAAGGTGGTGGGGGCGAGGGGAGGACAGAGGCCAGCACTGAAGAACTAAGCAAACAGTGACGCAATATCAACGCCGGTTATAAATGAATCACAGCCAGCCACCAGCATATGCCTCAAAGAGTTCTTTAATGTCTTCCCCACAACAGGGAATGGGGAAAAAAATTACTCTATCACAGCTAAGGCGGAAAATTCAATACTTTTGAGTTAAGTTATTCAAACACATCCACTGAACACAAGGGATTTTTTTTTTCTGGAGCAAAAATCTCATTAGTCATTAACGGGAAGGGAAAAAAAACCCCCACCAGGTTACAAATGAACTAGGTAACATGAGTACCTAGCAGGAAATGCATTTCCCATAAAGATTAAAAATAAGAAGTCTTCGTTGGCAGATTGGCAGAATCTGATAGCAGGGCTTCCCACATTGAGAAATCTAGAATTCTACAGCTGGCCAGGACAGCATTACTTGCTGAGAGTTAAAAGTGCCAATTTGCCTGGCTGGTGTGGCTCGGTGGTTGAGAGTTGACCTATGAACCAGGAGGGCATGGTTCCATTCCCGGTCAGCCCAGGTTTCCAGCTCAATCCCCAGTGTGGGGTATGTAGGAGGCAGCCTATCAGTGATTCTCTCTCATCACTGATGTTTCTATCTCTCCATATATTGAGGGAAAATAAAAAAGACATTCTAACTACTTTAAAATCTGATTTGGCTGTTATGTGTAGGAAAAAACCCCAAATGTGTCTTGATATGAGGATCTGCCCCTCATCTAAGAGAAAGCAACCCTCTTCCAGGGTGGGGAGCTCCTCTGTTACTGGGCCATTTTTCTTTCTTTCTTTCTTTCTTTCTTTCTTTCTTCCTTTCTTTCTTTCTTTCTTTCTTTCTTCTTTCTTTCTTTCTTTCTTTCTTTCTTTCTTTCTTTCTTTCTTTCTTTCTTTCTCTCTCTCTCTCT